TTTTAACTTATCACAATAAATCTTAAAGATTTGAGTTCAGAGAAAGCCTCTGTTTTTTTTTTGTGGTTTGAGACAGAAGAATCCATGCTGGATAGGTCACGCCAACCCACAAGTGAATTGATGCGATGGATGGATATCAAATGGCTCATGAAATTACATACCATCACGCATTCTTATGTAGGTGAGGCGAATTCCGACCCTGCCATGAAGTCCGCCCACAACGCCTCATACGTCAACGTAACGAGAAGCCCAAACAGCCCTTTACAACCAATTTACACCGGTGCCAGGTCTCAAAACGTGAAGGGGCAGCACGCGCATTTCCCTCTCGGCTGATATAGGTCGCAAAACCATCAATTTCAGAGCGCAGGTGAGGGGATGGGCTTTTAAGTGCGAGGCGTTGGAATTTGCCTCGCTTACTCTGCTAGTTTGTGCGCTGGCTAACATCTTTCACCTAACCGTGTAGCATTTGTTGGAGAAGAATGACCTGTCCAGAATAGATCGATTGCCCGAGGAACAAAAACCACTCACCAGTATGAGAGAGTTGTGCCAAAAAATGCATAATTGGAAACTTGAAAGGATAATTTTATCCTGCTCGTCAGCAGGAAGGTGGCCAGGCCCGCGACGATCCCGCCGCCGATCCCGTAGAGGAAGGAATTCCTGAAGCACGGGATCTGTGTCACGTCTCGTCCGAAGATGTAGAGCTGCAAATAAAAAAAAGGGAGGAATGAGAGCAGTTCGAGGCTCAGATCTTGGAAATCGACATAATTATTGCTCTGAAACTCTCATTTTTCATTTCTGGTGCAGTTTTTTTTACAAGCCTGAAAACTGAACTTATCCACATTCTCGTCTGGTCGAGCTGGGATGGATTGTTCAGCTTCAAAACATGAACATTACGAATAAAAAAAATTGATATTTTTATTTTGAACAAGGAACTAAGGAAATTTTACAAATTCTAATTGTATTCATGGGGTATTCCCAATGGTGTAAATATCACTTAGAGATTTTCATGGATTAGGAATTTCAGGATACCAGAATAATAAGTTTTTCCACCCAAAATTCTGCAACCTTGCACATGACTGGGTCAAATCACTGTGGAATTTTGTTTCATGTTTTAATTCCAAACACTTTGTTGTTTCTCATACATGGCACACTACCTTCTACCATTTTGATGCTACAGACCACCCAAAAACCCTTTCTTGTCCTCCCCCACAGAGGCTAAAGAATATTTTCATCACAATTGGTCTATTTTGGAGGAATATGAATTAAAAGAGAAAGAAGTTACTTGAATACCTCAGAATATGCCTCTAAAACATACTTTTAAGTCCTCATGGAATGAATTGATATGCTCATACTCCACTTCCTCACAATGTAACCCAACCATGCACACTCAGAATCTCATGGTCAATAAAAAAGCAACATTTTCCACCTAAATTTTCAATTTAGTTCTAAACTATTAAAATTCTGCAAGCAACACACAGCAAGAATGTAATCTCTACTAATCGCAGCGAAGCAACCACACCCAGGCTTGTATATGGGTTAGATCATCACACCTTAGAGGAAAAAAAAACGTGAAAGAAGATATGAGGGAGAGGGAGGGGGAGGGGGGGAGAGAGAGATGAAGCAAAGAAGGGCACAAGAAGAAAAATTAAACATGTCAGCATTCACAACAAGGAGTGTTATTAGGCATTGTGAAATAGCCAGAGGAATATCCTGGGGTGTAATTGCCAATCTACAATAAATGTATTTAACTCATCAAGCAATTGAGATGCAAAGTCTGCAAGGTAGCTGACATAGATACAAGATCCTTTTCTCCTCCAGCATTATCTTGCCCTTGGCTGATGGAATTAGAGAAGGTACTTCATATTTAAATGCTGATATCCATGAAGTAACAGAGTGAAGGAAGCATGGCATGCTGCAATCAAAAGACAACAGATCCTCATAACCAGTGAGCAGCTCTCCAATGAATGTACACCCATAGGCAGCCATGTTTTTCTGCAGAAGGAAAAAGGCAAATGGGGCCATATTTCTGGGAAGTAGTTTGGCCCAGTTCCATGCATTGAAAGGCACCACCAGTAAAAAGTGTTGATGGAGCATGCAGTTGTAATACCATTTGGACCAGATAGCTCTAATTATAAAAAAAAAGAATTGGCAGTTCTTTCTAGGAACTTAAGTGCAATGTTCTGCAGGCAAAGGTGCTACTTCCCAGACCAGGGATTCATACCTATCTATCCCCCTTAATAGTATTAGGCAACAATACATGAAACTGAACTTAGAGGGCACCCTTTGGAGCTGTATTAGCCACTGATTCTGACACATGGTTCCCATAGTGACAGGATGCACTGCTCATAGATCTGGAGCACTTCACAACTTCAGTCATAACAACAGATCTCTCTAATAAGGGTCATGCTAGTATTGTCATCTGCTTTCTCAAAATCATACCTGGTCAAATAATAAACTAGCCTTTGTTGGGTGGTCATGGGTCAGTTAGATTTGAAAATAATAATCCTGCCTGGCTGAAAGTGATGATCATATTTAAGCCTAGCTGACCAATGATAAGCCATGTTAGGGAAAGGTTAATTTTCCCACTCTTTGGCTGGGGACTTTAGAATGTGAAACAAATTGCTCACAAATACAGTTTTTGTTCCATTCATTACCTTCTTTCTATTTCACCTGTGCCAAGGGAGCATTCACTTAATGTGAAAATGCTCATTTCTCTAGGCTACCTGTATATATATTTGAAGTTTAACTCAGTCCACCAATTTTAAGTAAGAACTACACTACCCAATGGTAAACAGCAAGATGCAGACTGCAAAACCATCAATTAGAAGTAGCCATTGTAGTACCACATATAAAGTATCAGTCTTAGATATCTCTCCACAAATCCATGCTGACCTCAAACTGGTAAAATACCACATTGAGTAGTGATAACAATCCTTGAAGGCCACGTTAATTGATCTGAAGCCATCAAAATAAAGCCCTTATGCTAGGCCTATTGGGCTGTGCAATCGACCTTATCCAAAATGGTTTCCCTTCGCTAAAAATTCGGTGAAATGTTTTCCCATTTCAGACTGCAATTGATGTAAGCCTGTTATGGCCAAGTGCACTCTTACACTTCTTCTATGTCCCGTGGTCTCGTCAAGACTTAGTCCTTTATCGCCCATCCTGGAAAGCAAGTGACACAGACAGGTCGCACGAGTTCTCTACAATTCCGAAGATCTGGTGATTTCAACACCGGCAGTACATAACAGGAGAAGCACGTGTATTACAGCGCCACGCCATGTCCAGCCCTGTACGCTCGAGACATCTATGATATGCGAAGATAAGCAGAAGTGGGGACGTTTAAGTTCAGAGTGCCTCTGCTTCTTCCCAGCCAGTTTACAGGTGCGTTGGTTCTATATATAAAGTTGGTGTCGAAGCTCGTCAGTAGAGCTTTCGTACTTTGATCTATCGAGTACGGCAGCTGTGGAAGTCTCCCAGGACCATTTCAGGTTTCTCGAAACATTGGGCATATTAACTTGAGGAGGACGCTCTAATCAATCAGCTTTCACGATGATGGTGAGTTTGGAGTTAATGCCGCGAACGTTAGCCCGCGTTCAAATGCTATGCTTTTACATGTGCCTGTTCGTATATGAGCTATGAACTCATGTTGGTTGTTTGGCTGCTTCCCTGGTTACATGACATCCTAGCCCAGAAATGGGTGGTCACGTATGTTCCAAATCATGGTGTCTGGTTGCTTTTTAAGCTTAAGCCTCTGGTCTAAGTGGTCTTAGTCAATCCGTTCCCGTCTCATGGCCTACACGAAACAATGACATGCACATACATATTGCAGAGGCTTGAAAGTTTTGGGAATGGTTCAGTTGCTGGTTGTTTGCATCATTGACCACCTTTCTGAATGAATCTAACGTTAGGGACTGACAAGTATAGGCTAAGCTGAATGCACTCAACCCAGCTTGGGAGGGCCAGCATTAAATCAACCTCCTGATTCTAAGGAGACATGCTTGATTTCCCACATATAACCTCGAAGATGAGAAGTAAACTTAGGTCCATTAATAGGCTTGCAATTCTCTTAGATTAAGCTTAGCTATAGAATGTGGAAATGAAAACTTTGGATCTTTGGGGTGTATTATATGAAATAGGCTACTGGTAACGATCAAGTCTGTCATTTCTAGCAAAAAATATATCAATGTTGTGATGTACTTTTTGTAGGATCAATTTTAAGAAGCTTTGCATATGTATCTTCTTCATTCATGGTACCTCAAATCCTGCACAGCTCATGAACTCCACACTCATTGCTAATCCATCCCAAAGTGCATGTATAAAGAGAGGACAGCAAATGGGTAAGGGGTTTTCAACCCTCCTTGCTTTACCAGCTTACCACCATAGTGCATGAAATCAAGGTCAGACTGGCAGTTTAGGGGTCCCCTGGAAATTGATGATAGATAGCACCTGTAAACCCCATCCCAAGAATATATATGAATATATATGAGAAAAATTCGGGGATAGATTAAAAAGGTATATCATTCAATGCCTATTTATACACTAAGAAACTGTGCCAATAACTTTCTCTATTAACGGTAAATTCTATAATATCCACTTAATTTAAACACTGCATGTAGATAGAGGGAAGAAGGTATGTGCAAAGTTTATAGAAATTTGATGCATTGTATCACATTCTATACCAGTTCAAAACTTGATGGGCAAAAGTGAGCTGTACAAGCCCACTGATGTGTTTGCCTCAGCCAGGGAAGCTAACCTCCTTGACTGTTCTGTATGGCACATACAGACTCTCACTTGCTGCATAGCTGAGGATGTCCATCAGGATGCATCAGCAAGGATGTCTGGTGCATTTTCTTAACCTTTTACTTTTAAATGTTGTAGCATGTGACACATTGGGTCAATACTGTTCAAATTTGGCAAAAACCTCTATCCAATTGTGAAATATTAGGTTGACTGAATAAAATTCATGGTCATTCCTATAAAAAATGAATTGGCAGTTTAAAAAAAAAATACTATGTGGTAAATATATGATACAAATCATAACCAAAATAAAATTAGTAATAATGATGCATTTTTCATTTTTAAATTAGTCCTGGGGGCCCCTGGGAAACTTCCTGGTATCCCTATGGGCCTGTCTGACCATGCATGCAATGCATTCTGCTCCTGAAATGCATGATAAAGAATGTAATAAGCTGGGACTTTTCAACAAGGTAGTGTAATAAGGCCAGAAGTCTACCATGTTACTGGTGCATTTGAGAAGCACTATACGGAGTGGGAAGGTAAAATCTTCTGAAGAACTGCTTCTTAAGTGTGACACTTCTGACTTAGATACTCCCTTAATAAAATGTATATCAGGAATAAACAATATAGGTCAATTTTGATCATAATTGACTTATATTGCATATTTCTGGTATGAACTTTTATTAGGAGAATATCTATATAGGAGGAATGTCAGAATCAATATTGTTGCTGCAACAAAGATACAGATTCCTTATTGCCACCTGGTATGTATGTCTACTATTTCTTATTCTTGGTACTAAAATAACGTTCATGTCCCATCAGAGCATTCCAATGGTCATTTCAAAATTTGAGCACGTCTTGATTTTTTAGAACAACCATACAGGCACAGGTATTGTGTTGGAGTGAAGAAAAGTTGAAAGGCTTTTTTTTTTTTTAGCAGTGATTTTCCCAGGTGATTGATCAACTTAAATCTGTAATGCATGAATTCAGAGGTCCTGGCTAGGATTATATTATTGATTTTGCTTAAATAGTAATCTTTTTATATTGGATATTCTCAGGGGTGCAGGGGTGCCACTGACATCTTGCTGTCTGGAGAGGGTGCTGTTTTAAAGAAAAGGTTGAGAACTGCTGCCTTAAAGCAACCACTGCCAGGCACTTCAGCCTTGGTGGTCAATATGAAATATTATGGATTTTCCTGCTTCCTAGTCAAGAAAAAAAATTTCCCTGAAGTAGCTACTTTAGTGTCTTTCATTATTTCTTTTTTTAATGCCACAACAGTCAGCCTATAATGTGCAGAAAGAAATCCTCTCTGTTGAGCCTATCTTGTATCTTTTAGTATGCATTTGCTAATATGGGGTTGCGAATTGCTAAGTTTGTTTGAGGTGTAATCCTGCAAGCATTTTTTTCAATTGATTTCTGTAGGACAAGCCAAATCAGAACCATTCAGGTGAGATGGATGTATCAATGATGCCCCCAAAGCCTACCATCCCAACAAGGCAGTACCTGGACCAGACCCTTGTACCTATCCTTCTGGAAGGTCTAGCAGCTATTGCTAAGGAAAGGTATGTCAGAGGTCCAACCATTTTACCTTGTCCTCTGTGTTCCTTTTCAAGAAGCCTCAACCCAATTTGCTAAGTTTTTATGTCCCAGTGGAAAGCCCATGCATGGTGCTGGTACTGTTATTTGCCAATGTTGCTGACAAATATGTTAAACTTCTACTGTTCAGCAATGGCTATTTTTTATGAAATTTATATTTCCTCTTTTCCTGTCTGAGAACTTTTTACATTTTCCATTGCTTTCTTGACAGAGTAAAGTCTGATATGAACATCATGATATCTTTCTTCTAAGCCCACTCTGATTTGCAGTTGAATCAGTCACCTTTAACATGATCTCAATATTTCTATATTGTTAAAAAAAAATTTCCTCACCTTGCATGCGCCATGAAAATCATGATTATAGCTAAGGTAGTATGGATTCATTTGCAAGTCACTGGATATCATTTGCACTAGAACTTAGCAAACATACTCAGTCACTAGGAAATGCCCTTGAGTGTGACATGGTACTGGCTTGCCCCTTGCTCTTCATGAAAATTATTTTGCAAAGCTCCTCCTATTTGATTCTCCCGATGGCCTGAATACCCTGGGTTGGATGGGCTCATCTGCAATCATGGATAAGGGCAAGTGATTGTAAGTATATCCCTGGGTTTGCCAGAATAAGTGAAAGAAGCCTAAGAGCAAAGGTGGTGATTTTGGAACTGTAGCTTAAAAGACTTCTGCATCCAAATTTATTGGCATTTGCAATACCTATGTTCTTTGTCTATGTAAGGTGAAGTTTGTGCATGCCTGGAGAGGAGGGTAGACAAGGATGCTTATATCTCCCAGATTTTAGTCTCTAAAAGAATTGAGGTGAATGCAGAAAAATATGTACAACATGATAGAAAGGATCTTGTCTTTGTCATGATGGCATGCCTATTGTAGCCATCCCCTAAACCATATGACATCTGGAGTGCATCAGAGAAATCACCAAGCTACTTTAGAGGAGAAATATAGAAGTATATTAGAGAAATTCTGGTGCTGCTTCAATGCAACTAGACTTTGAGGTTTTCCATCAAAAATTAATGGCAGGGGGGGGGCTTTGTGTCATCAAGGTTTGAATGTGAAGCATGTATGAGAGAGAGAAACCAAGTTGTAAAATGAATGGAGAGCATCTGTCAGACTTAGTTTCTTATGGGACAAAGTATTTGAAATACTCTTATTTTCATGTTGGAGATATTTGAAAGTACTCATGTAATGCATAGGTTTAAGTGCTTAGAAGTGAAGAAGTTTGTTGGATTCTGGGGATGAGTTCTTGTATTTACAAACTGACATTTTAGGTTAAGGGACTAAAAGTACATTAGCTAGAAAGTAAAAGAACTTGGGTGAGATGAATTGCATTGCATATGGATGCCTCAGAGAATGTTCTTCTTTTGGTCTTCATTTGCCTTTGTTTCCTTTGACAGGCCACAGGATCCAGTGGAGTATCTTGGAAATTTTCTTCTGAGAAGCCGAAATTCTGGGAGTTCAAATTCAAACTCATTACCTGTGCCAACAACCACAGCCCCTACAACATGTGCCTCTGTGCCCTCATTGCAGCAAGGATCCTGACAATAAGACACTTGTGTTTTTTTTAATTATTATTAATGTATTTTACTTTTTAACATAGGCTCTACCAAAAAGTGCAGAGCTGTGATCTCAGGCCCTCTCTATGAGTCTCAAAGTTCTTTGGTGCAGGAAGGTTGACAAGGCTTACTTTATAATGTCCATTTCTTTGACAGCTTATCATGTTTTCAATTTTGTGCTTGAATGAATTAGGCCTTTTTTTTTACTGATAGACTTTTGAAGCAATAAATTTTTTTTTCCACAAAGAGATATGTTCAGTTTATCATGTCAAAAAGCAGCATCTTACAGCTCATACCATCTGAATGAATTCAGCTGGCTTGTTCGTTGCTTGGCAAGCATATACCGGGTGGCCCCCCAAAAAAGCGTTCCGAACTTCGTGCTGCAGACGGCTGCAGCATGAAGTTCGGAACGGAACGGTCTGCAGACAAATGCTGCAGCATTCGTCTGCAGACCTTGCTAAACATCGTCTTGAAAGTTTCAGTGTCATACCAATATTGGTAGGTGGCTTTAGGAAAATTTTCGGAAAATGAAATCTCTAGCACTGAACATGAGTAAGAGGTCTTTCCTTACAAGTCGTCAAATGAGCAAGTGTGTCAGTGCGTTTGATGGCGTGCTGCTTCGGCCCACGATCCATGGAGGACCCCATCAAGCAGTTCTTTCGTTGAGTTCAGGCGCGTTTCTTTGCACACTCGCTCTTTTGACATCGCACGGGAGAAAAATTTTTCGTAGTTTACAACCAATTTCAATGAAATGTTTGTTACATTACCTGCAAACATTGCATGTAAAAGCCTGTAAATTTCCTGTCGATAACGCATATGGTACACCGTCTGCAGGCGTGTGAAGTTCGGAACTTTTTTTGGGGGGGCCACTGGTATGTAGATCATGGGATGGCTGTGTGCCTGTCTTAGGAAGTTCTCATGAAGTATCAATAATTCACAAGATGGATAGTCAATAAGGACTGCATGTTGTATGGGTTGCAATGATCCTGGCTCCCTAATCATATTATCTTTATTGGAGTAGCGAGGCTGTTCCTGCCAAGGGAATCTTTGTAGGGTGTGAGTACGACTATATATTTGACTGATGCAGAGCTCATTGCCTCCTTTTATGATTATTAGAGAAGAGCTGCGTACTTTATGACCTTAAAAGGGAGAAAAGGAGATTGCCTCAGCGACTTTTTTTGTCGTAAATATCAATACTCATTGGTATATATATGTCTTCATATTTGAATACTTCTTGAAAAAGTGCCGAAACATGGAAGCCATCGAGAATGGGGATCGCACAAATGTATTCCTTCAAGGCGAAGCACCTGAAGCATGGTAGATAATGGTTTCATTGGCACAGAATCATATCTCCTGGGTCGTGTCCTGCAAGCCCTCATGCACGATTCATCGAGGTAGTTGACGTCAGTGTTTGCGCAACATTATCATCGTTACACGAGCATATTCCTCACGCCTCTTGGGACCCTGAATCGTCAATGAGCGACTGGAAGCAGCCCCCGAGATCTCCTGAGATCGTAGGCGACGGTCGGGATGGATCGCATCACCTCTTGCGACAGCTCCCGTGAACCTTGGTCTCGAGCATGGCCTTCTGCATGGACCCGGAGATGTGTCGGAAGAGGTGTGTCCAGGCTTCGGCCACTTCGGGTCGCCACTCATCTCCCAGCACCGGCTCGATGCTCGTTATGAACTCGGGGCCCACCAGCTGCATTCCAAGCACGCAACGTTTCGAGTTTCAATCTCTTCGTAGAACCTCAAACACTCGTCGCCTTTATCGATACGGTTTGCTCTCGGGAATATCGGCCGTCGATATTCCCTCGCGCTCGATCGATCAAAGGCTTCGGAGCGAAGGAGACTTCTAAACGCCTCGCATCCCATCGGCAACCGAAGCCCCTCACCTCCACGTGACGTCTGGAAGCCCCGTACCTCTGGTGGTTCCTCCCGATCTCCGCGAGGAGCTGGTCCAGCTGATCGTCGTCGTCCAAGCGGGCCACGACTTTTTGCACGAACCCCATCACCCTGTCGACGGATCACATTCTTGGTAGAATAAGTAAAATATTGAACGAGGTAAAAAAAAAAAAGTTGCTAAAGATCAAAAGAAGGGTCCAAGAATTGCCTTCGAGACCGTCGAAGAGCAAATGCCGAACTGTCATTCCGGCCTCTTCGTTGATTCCGATTGCCAAAAAGAACTTCCAGGGGCAATTGCCAATTTTTTTTCACAGAAGTTACGTTGAAAAATCTCACCTGCCCGAAAAGGGCAGAACATTGATTTTTTCGTGTTTTGTATGGAGCCACTCGCTCACCCACCAATTCTCTTATTAATTCTCTCAATCTTTCCATCTCCCGTTTTCATACAGTGAAACGAAATGAATATTCACGACACTGTGAATATTCATGGATTTCCTCGGAGAAAGGGCACCCGCTGGGAAAGTGGGAACATTCTGTCGCCAAGCATTTTCCTCATGTCAGCGGGGAGAAATCGACGGGGGAAATCACTCTCTCCAGGAAACCGGAAATTGCTTCCTTTTACTATTTATTTATAGGGTGTCTAGACGCCATGCCTGCCGATTATAGCTTTCACAATCATCAAAGAACGGAAGGAAAAAAAGAAAGGCTCATTAGTCGAGCCCTCACGGGACTTACTTTCTTCCTTACCCCCCACAAATAAAGGCCTAGACAAAAACCACAAACGAGAGAGAAACCGTGGCGTCACCTGAGCGCATGCGCCTTCAGCTCCTTGTTCTGCCGCAGCTCCTTCACCTCTATCCCCCGGAAGGGGTGGAACACCGTCTGCACGTCCGGGTGCGTCTCGAACAGCCTGCGAGAGAAACAAGTCCACTTTCCGGTTTACAGCCTGCGAGAGAAACAAGTCCACTTTCCGCTTTACAGCCTGCGAGAGAAACAAGTCCACTTTCCTCTCAAGTCACTCCTTTTTCGGTACTCAACTAATTTCTGCCAAGATTCATTCTTTTGCTTGAAAAGTTTCACAATCTGACCGAATATGCAAATCAGCCTCATTTCAATATTTCTCCAAGATAATATCGGCTGTAATTACGTTACTAATTGGTTTCCACGATTTCCATTGAGCGTACGATGTCTGGGCGGATTCCTTGCTTCCAGACAAGCACCTCGTCGATGAATCTTCGGCGAAATACGCGTAAAGTAATTAAAAACCCATTTCGACCTCCGTGCCGCGAAGTGACCTGGTTCGGAAAGAGGGCCTACGTGTAATTTTCCTGCTCATCGCGTTTTAGCCGCTCTGGACTCGGGACTTAGCCGGCTTCTGTGATACAATCTATTTAAAAAAAAGCTTTTATTATCTGCCTTTCATGCAATTAATAAATAAATACACGCCAAGGCTCAGGCTTTTTACCTCTGGCCATTCGCTCTTCCCCCACCTCTCCTGCAAAAACACCTCGGAGGCTCAATCCCACGTTTCTAGGCCACGAAAACGTTTACTCAGAGCGCGTGTTCCTCGCTTCCAGTCCACATCATTGCCTCGACGCGATATTTCCTTATTTGCTTCATTTCGTCTCTCCTCATCGGCGGGATGAAAGTTCGCCCGGCCGCAGGCTCCTCCGCGGTTCAATCATCTTCAACTTCTCTGGAACTGTCTTGCCCTTAAAATCCACTCTCGCGCAAATTGTTCCACGAAAACCCATTCTCTCTCCCCAGAGAGGGGGAATCCCCCCCTCAATCCTACGGCCCATTTCCCCTCCATTGCGAAGGGTAAAGACGTCTCAGACGCGAGATCCTCCCCATTCGGCACGCAGCCATTGAAACGCCGAGACCTGCTCCTCGCCTCACCTAATCTAAATCTGTCTAAACTTCACCTACTCTAAAAGCAGCGTAAAAGCAAATGGTTTAGATTAAGATTTAGATTAAGACTTGGATTAAGTTCAGCAGAGAATCTTCCAGCCGGCCCGAAGGAAGCACTCCAATTTCTCCGATTCCTCGTCGACGGCGGGCCTGGCTCGTTTCCTGCGAGGATCCGGTAACGATGCCGGACGGGTCCGGATCCGGGGCGAAGTGGCCGGTATTATATTATTAGAACGGTGATTATAATTATGATTGCGTCGTCTGCTCGGGACTGCCTTCTAAAATGAAGTTGTTCGTCTTGAAGCTTTGGAAGCATCGGGGGCTTTCATTCGAAATGTTTTGCCGCATCATGTGCCAGAGCAGTACTAAAGGTTCACTTCCTCCTCTTTCTCCTTCCCCCCGAGGAAAGCACCCAGTACCCCTTCGTCTCCGGGAACTCCCTCGACAGGAACTGGACCTCCTTCGGGTTCCCCGTGTCCACCGTCCCCAGGTTCCCCCCCGGCAGCGTCTCGCACGACGCCACGCTCCCTTGGTAGTTGCGGGACTCCGGCGGGGACCAGAGGCAGTACTCCCCCATCACCTTCTCCTTGTCCTGGCAGTCCACTCCGTCTGCGAGCGTTCGTCGTTTTTTTTATCATCGTCATCGTAAATATATAATTTAATGCATTTTATTAATCGATCGTTAAAGTGCGCCGGTCGAACGAGACTTCGCGATTCGCGGAAGAGTCTCGATTCTCGATCGACTTCTGGTCTCAGAGAAGCGAAATTTCACAGCATCCTCAGCCTTTTCCGTGAAATCCGACCTCGCATCACCTCACAGATAAAAACAGATGAACCGCGCTCGTTTTTTCCCCCCCTCTTTTGAACCCCGATTGCCCAGGAAATTTGCGGCGGAGAGAACCGCCATCCACCCTCGCAACCCCATCTCCTCCCAATCGAGGGAATGACGTCTCCTCACGGACCATCAAATAAATATCAGCTGTCATTTCTTCGGCGTAGGCCTATACGAAAAGGCCTGGACGACGAGACACTTTCGCGATCGTCCCTGCGCCCGCGTCGCGTGGAGGCGGGAGGTATCGAGTGTAGGATGCCAGATATGGCTCACGCTCACGCCTAGCAACCCTGTCTACGCGGCCTGGAGCAGCCGCCCTCCCCCCGTCGTCTCCTATGGATCCGTCGACCGCCAGGGCCGGAAGGGAAGTGGACGTTCGAGTGGAAGACGAACACCCCGACCCGGGCGGAAACCTGCGCGTGCGCATCGGGTCGTGCCGTCCGGTCGCCATGGTTACTGTGGGCAGACGGAATGGGAAAAAAAAGACGGATCCCAATATCTGGCATTCCCCCATAGCACCTATGGGAACGTCAGATAATTACAGCAATACCCGAGCACCCTACAGCACTGGGTGGGATGGGTGGAGGGTGGAGGGTGGGTGGATAGAAGGTGGAGGGTGGATGGATGGAGGGTGGATGTCCTCACCTGTTCAATGGTGCTGGGGTGGGCGAGGGCGGAGGGAAGGCGACGGAGGGACGATGACTCCTGAATCCTGAGGCGGTGGAAGGCGGGAGCCACATGTCTTCCAGTGGCACTTTCCCTCGACTCTCCACCAGTCCAGGCGTGGAATGACTTCGGCTCAATGCCGCTGCGAGTGGAAGCGTGCAACGGCGGGTCAGATTGCTAGGTCTCGGGCGAATTCTGAAATGGCTTCTTTCTTTGAGAATTTCAATGGTGTTCATTAGTGAAATTATCTGAGGCCGACTGCCTGAAAGGGAAATCCGGCCTACGCGAGTGACTTGAATTTCAGCGCACTCAATTATGGTAATCAGTTCGAAGGAAAAAAAAAATACAGGCGTCTGAGAGGAACTGTCATTGGGTCCCATCGCGACGGGATTGGAGTGGAACACGTGGAACAAAAACAGAGGAAAGAAACTCAATAGCACAGCCAGAAAGCACTCGAAATCTCTTTAATGGGCAAGTTTTCCCCCTCGTGAGCAAGTCTTCCCCCCTCGAGCCTCGTCCCAAACAAACCGGAACCCGTATGTAACTCATATTTCACGGGAAACGAGTCGCATGTATCCCGAAACGCAGACGAGAATGAAAGCCCCCCGGGGGGCGAGAAATGAAGCCGCGTGGGGGGCCGTCGCCCCCCTCACGCTGGGAGGGAGCCCCGCTCCCTTTTTTTTCGCAGATGAATCGCCTGTCGCATTTTGTCGACTGAGTGCAGAAATTTTCCCCGCCCCGATATGAGAAGGGAATAAGAACGACTCTGCTCAGTATGCATGCGACTCGTCGAAGCAATCAGAAAGGGAAAGAAAAGGAGAAAAGGCCCCCCTCCCCCCCCCGCCCCCCCCCCCCCCCCCC